AAAAAAAAAAGTCAAATCCAGTCTGGGCATCTGGCTGAGTGTGTGATGAACCATAAATCATGTCAACAATGGCTGTGTGATACTATGAAGGTTTTACAAGTCAACAGTGGAGAAATTGCTTGAGCATTTACAGAGCTGAGCTCTTTTTCTGATGCTTAAAGGAGTCAATAATAGGGAAGGGCTTTAAATCCAGATAGCAGCACATACATTTAAACTTGGTTAAATAAATTATTTACAATTGGCAGGGCCCATACTGTACATCATGTTTTAAAAAAAACTACAGATTACAAGCCATGATGATTGGGTTTGCATAGTACATTAAATCCCAAGATACTTTATGGCTAGCCATAATATAAAGAATGAGGACAGCATGGTCTGAGCACTACCACAGACAAATCAGAAATGGATCCTTCTTCCTCCGTGTGTTTCTGCCACATTTCTTCTATGAGTTCCACACCCCTTTTGAGAATATATTCAAAGCCATAAACATTCACACCCAGCTTTCTCTTTCAGTCTCGCCTCTGTTAAAGTTCAACTCAGTGTTTGCTATAACACCCTAGAAACCTGTTTCCACCCTCTGGATACATATGCCTTGTCTGCTGAATGCCAAATTCTCATGCTATATTTCACTCTATATCAGCTGATAGGTAAATAGATAACCTTTATTGTCATTTTTTTTACTGTGGGCACACCGGCATGAAATTCTGTTGTCTGCTCTCAAAAGTGTACACGTACATAGCACACATATACACATGCTATACACACACACAACCACACACACACACACACAAAATACATTTATAATAGACTGATGGTTACAAGATCAACAGATTATAATAAAGGGATTTGAACACATTTTGTCCAACATTCTTTTATCACTGCATCACATTAGCCGGCAAGCAGTGGGACAGCCAGAGATCAACCGCAGTCCATTCCACATTCTTAAGCCACAGGAATTAGCAGAGGGATGTTAGGAAGGAGTGTTAAAAACATGTGTCACTACAATATTAAGGCCTAGTTTTCACACGTCCTTACTATTCAGCCCTCTTGACAGGACCTTATGACAGGACCTGAAGGCAAAACGCTTGGATGGACCAGATTTTGTCTGCCCTGGTTTCCTTTACATCATTACCTCATTTTATCATGACGAAATGAGGAGGAATCAGAATGCTATCTTTAGGATGAGCAGTGTATGAAAAAGCTAGCGGCAAACAGACTAAATCAAGATTAAAAACAGAATTCAGTGTAGCACTGTATGAGAGCACAGTTTTCCTCTTTCTTTCTTTGAGCTTGATAAAAATGGCATAAAAGAGGGTCCAGAATCTTTTCCACAAACATACTTTCGTCCTCAGGTTTCTGTCCCTTCCCAATTTGCTTTTTAAAAAAAAAAAATATCCCAGACCGAGCAGCAATTTCAAGTTCATTCAGTGAGACCATATTGCAAGGTGATTTAACTGACCAGATAAAGCGTTTTTGATCCCTTGACCCCCAACAAACTAATCTCAGAATGAGTGGATTTCAGAAGAGGCCTTCAAAGAAGAGAGCAAATATACATCTGGATTTGCATGCCTCTCTTGGATGCCCAGAAGCCTCCAAAAAGCACAGAATGCTAATAAAAGCAAACCAAAGATTTGCCTACTATTCAAGAATGGACATTGAAAGTAACAAACCTAGCAGAGATGGCTAAAATATCAGCCTATCTTAAGGACCATTCAAACGAGAGATATAAACTGGAGTGGAAAAGATGGATGGATTATACTCAAAATAAATACGGGACTGAGAAATTTCAGATAGCTTATGATTAAAGAAACTAGGATGATATAAATTGTTTAGAGCTAGCCTAGCAAGGAGGAGTTAAAGCTCAAGTGAAAGATGTTATTAACTTCTTTTAAAGTTTATTTTAGAATGTTTTTGTTAAAGATTTATACCCTGTATTGGTTCTGGGAAGTCCGGGGGGTGTGGGGGGTTTGGGGGGGCGGGGTGGGGGGAGGGAAGTAAATATTTGTAAAAGTTTGTTTTTTAAAATTTTCATTAAAAAAAAACATACCATAATTGTTTCCCAGCTTACATACAGATTTGTGCTGCTTCTAAAAAGTGATGGTTTTATCGATCAATCGATGTAATTTCCCCTTAGAGTCATCTAGCCAATCTTTCCCAAGCAGCTGCTCTCCTACAAATAAAGGGGGAATTCTTGGAGATATAATCTCAACACATCTCAAGGTCCTCAGAATAGAGAAAACCGATCAAAGTTGACTATTATAACTGTAATTTAATTCCAGTTTGTTCTGTTATGATCGGTTCCTGAAGAAACTCAAGGTTGACTCAGCCTTCCATCCTTCCGAGGTGGGTGAAATGAGGACCCAGGCTGTGGGGGGGGCGATATGCTGACTCTGTAAACCGCTTAGAGAGGGCTGAAAGCCCTATGAAGCGGTATATAAGTCTAACTGCTATTGCTATTGCTAACTTTCTTTGAGTTTTTTTTTCTTGCCCCTCTATTTCACCCAAATTCTTTTTGTTTTCACTTCTAATTATTTTAATAAAGTCTTGTCCATTATCCAAATGGGCTACATATATCATGCCTGGGATAATGGGAGCCTTGTAGTCCATTTGAATGACAACAGTTTGGGGGGAAAAAACTGTTTTGGGGAAACTGAAGAGAGGGATTTGAAAAAGGATGAACCCACTTGCTTTGATTCCTCAACCCAGAGCCAAGCAGGTGGTCCTTTTTCAGCCTTCTCTTCACCCCCATCTTTCCCCTGCCAATAGTACTTACCTTGTAGACAGGGAACCTCCTCGGCTTCATTGGAGTCTTCTGCTGGGTGGCAAGGCAATGATGAGCCATACAGGGCGAGCCTCTGCCTTTGCAGCTCCTGTTCTCGTTCCTGGACTTCCCGGACCTCCTGATCCAAGAGAGACTGAGGGCTTTTGGCACGCAAGGAGAAGAAGGGACTAGCCGAAGAGGCTCTCCCTGGCGAATGCTGCTTTGGTTCTGCTGAAACACCAGAGTCCAGGATGATCACATTGGACATCCGATTGACCTCACCAAAAGGGGGTCGCCTTGGATTTTCTGTGCAGCTGTTGCTGCTGCTGTTATGCCCTGTCTTTTTGAAGTCCGGTGTCTCAGGGTGGGGCTGCTGCTCAAAAATCATCTTCTTCTCCTGCAGTTCCTTGGGAGTACCACGGTCATAGGTGCCTCTCACCTTGCCCAACTGCACCAGGTCCTCTTCACGCCGACACTCCCGCTGAATCTCCCTCTGCATCTGGACACCAGCCCACTGACGCTCCTTCTCCTTCGGCTTCATGGAGGACGCCATGCCTTGGTTCAAGATGGGCTTGATGCACACTTCCACATATTCCTGGGTACCTCGAAAACTACCCAGGCCTCTCTCCCTTCGCAGGAGTTCTTCCCTTTCCAGATGGACACGGATCTCCCGCTCAATCGGGGTCTCGGCGGTGTGAGAAGGGTTCTCGGGCTCATCGGCATTATTTCCCATCAGGTCTGCGGGGCAACCTGATTCTTCAGTCACCAAGCGTTCCTTAGCAGGAGGTGCAGCCAGAGTTGGATGTTCTGGGCTCACCAGATCCCCGGTACCTGTGGGGTCTGAGACATCAAGAAGTAATCCCTTCCTGGGTGTTGGATTTGAGCCAGAATTCTCCGTAGCAATATCTAACCCGTTAGCTAAAGAGGCATCAGCTGAACCTCGAGAGTCTGCTCTGTTCCTGGTATCTAGCAGATCTTCAACACTGGCTAAAACCATTGCGCCAGCTGCCTCTTTGGGACAAGTTGGATCACTTGTACCCGTCAGGCTTTGGGAGTCAGGAAATGCTTCGTCCAGTTTGTTGGCACCTGTCAGATTCTCTGCTTCTTCTGGTTGGCTGGTATTTTCTCCAGGCTCAGAGTCCCTCAGAGTCGCTTCGTTTTGCCTCTCAGATTCCAGCACAGACTCTGCTCCAACCTCACCCTGGGACTGATTATTATTGCCGGCTCCTCTTGACTGCGGAATAGCCAATCCTTCCTTGTCTTGCCCGTCACATACCGGAGCCAGGCCCTTGTGGGCAGGATTGGTTGCCACAGGAGACCGTGCCGGCTGTTTCGGAGGTAGAGTGTCACAACCTGTGCCGGGTGCCCTCTGCTGGCAGCAGAAGTCACCATCTAGCTGGGGGTTTGCTAACGGCAGGGAAGGCGAATTTGGACGGCGGGAAGAATCTTGGGTGACCTGCCCATCAGTTGCCTGAGGATTATCTTCCAAGGCTTGTCTCAAAAACTGCCCATCGGCATGACCCTGGCAGTCTTCTGAAGCTAAAAGTAACTGGCCATCCTCTCTATTGGGCGTTAGTTCTTCGTTACCTGTTTCTGTAACTTTTTGGCAGCTTGGCTTAATTTGTTCATGAATGTTGGTAAGATGAGATGTTCCCTGAAGTTCATCTGTCAAATCAAAATCAGAATGACTGGAGATAAGACACTCTCCTTCCCCTGTTTGGTTTTGGCACTTGGCCTCCAGACACAACAAGTCGAGAGATTTAGGTGAAGTGAGACTTTCGCTTCTCTCTTCACAGGTAGGAATTTGTTTGAGGCTCCTGGGAAGTTCTGGTTTCTCTGATGAATCTGGATACGCGTCAAAAGAATGATCTGCAGTGTCATCTTCTATCCTTTGGTCTGGTTGATCAGGGATGTCATTGGGGGTCTGTTGCACTGAAGCATTATCTGAAATAGTTCCATCATATACAAGAGGGTTCTTTTCAGCCTCTCGGACACATTCCAAAGGTTTCAGGAAGTCCGTAGGCACAACGGGAACTTTATCAGAGCAGTGATACGGCTTGCTCTCCACTCCTTCGACCTCTTGCGCTGAGGTCCCATTTGAGTGCTTGGATTCTGGGAAAGCATTTAAAACATTGTCATGACACTCAAGACAGCTGCCAGTCTCTCCTTGTGCCAGCTGACCTGGGGCACTTTCTTCTTTCTGCTGCTCCGAGCAGACATCTGGCATCTTGATCTGGCATCTATCCTCTAGTTGGTTGCAGGCAGGTGCCATATTCATTCCTTGTGAAAGCATCTCTGGAGATGAGGGGGCATTCTCCGCAGGGGCATCCTTTTGAATTAAGTTGGATAATGCTTCTAGTGTGTTTTTTTTGGCGATGAGATTGTTGCCATCTTCAAGTGAAGGTATCAATGGATTACTGGGTTCAGGGGTTATGGAAACATCCTTGACCACGTCCTTGGTCCCCACCATCTGCCTGAATTCATCCACTTCCAAGCTCTCCTTTTTGCTGCGCTCCAGCCCAGAGCTAAGAGGGGGCAGGAATAACGCTTCTGTGGTCATATGGAAAGTGATTGTTTCTTCAACAGATCTAGAACAAAGAACATTCATCTCTTTAATGTGGCTTGTCGTTTTTCTGATAATCCCCTCATTTTATGAGTTTCAACTGGGAAGGCATATTAATCAATCGTAGCGAAACAATAGTTTCTTTTGGCAAGTTTATGCCTTATAATTTTAGCAGATAAAATTTTAACAATTTTATTGCTGTATATATTTCATGTTAATAATTTAGGTAATAACCTATTCACAGAAGACATAGAATCATAGGGCTGGAAGGGGCCTCAGAGGTCTGCTAGTCCAACCCTCTGCTCTGTAAACCGCTTAGAGAGGGCTGAAAGCCCTATGAAGTGGTATATAAGTCTAACTGCTATTGCTATTGCTTTAAACAATTGCTCAAGGCAGGACCCTTGTATTATCCCAGTCAAATGATTATCCACTCTTTTTTTGGGAAAACCTCCAGTTTTCATAATTTGTTAGCCTTTCAGTGCTGCTACACTTCCTGATTTTAAGGAAACGAGAAATCTCAATGAGACAATGGCTCCCCCTTCTGACAATAAAAGAAAAGAATATCGAAGATTTGCAAAATGCTGATAGGGAAAAAAAATATCCGAAACAGAATATGTGGACAATACAGCAAGAATAAATATTTTCTGCATTCCTTTATATTTTGGATATCCCTTGGATATTTATGCCCACGTTATTGTATGTTGCTTTTAATATTCGCCTGTCCACATCAGTAGAGGTTGAATAAGAAAGGCTCTTTCAGCTCCCCTAATCTAATTTTCAATTATTGGCCAGCCCTTCAGAGTAATAAAATGGGCACAGTTCTCCTGAAAACCACACCAAAAGCATGTCAGGCTAATCACCGTAACACTTTGTTGGTTAAAATTACAAATATTTGCATAATTGTGGTCATATTTCTGGCATTCCCCCAAAAGTCATCAATTAATTACCACCAATTAGCATTAGAAACAATAGGCTTCTTTTTCAGGTTCAATTCTAATACAATTCCTTCAGTGTTGAGTCCAAAGTTATCAAAGAGCAGTGGCTGCTCCTCTCAAAGTATTTTTTGATCCTTCCTTTGTTTTTCTATGCAGTTCTTATAGCAATAGCAATAGCAGTTAGACTTATATACCGCTTCATAGGGCTTTCAGCCCTCTCTAAGCGGTTTACAGAGTCAGCATATTGCCCCNGCAAGCCACTCCCACCAGGTCACATGGCTGGCAAGCCACTCCCACAAAGGTGGCCACACCCACATAGTAGGTTCGAAATTTTTTTGAAACCCACCACTGTACCATACCATTCTTGTCTCTTTTGAAGAGGTATGTGGAACAGAAGGGCCTGAATAGTGCACTTTCCGACGTATTATTGAAGAGCTGAACTCATACAATAGCTGCATTTTATCACATAAAAGGCAAATAGCTCAGTTTTCTCTATCACCTTCTATATTCATTTTATTTACCAAATAAATAAAATAAACCACTCATCTCACCTAAGTGACTTTAGGTGGTTTGCAAATAAAAACCATAAAAAGAAACATAGTTAGAAACAATATTAAAAACAGTTTAAAAACGTTAAAAATTAAGAATGACAAAAGTTAAAAAAAATGGGGAGGGACTAGCCCAACCAACCAGCCAATCCCAGGATTGCATGCTTAGACTCCCATGCTAATTGATCATTAATTAATTAATTAATTAATTAATTAATTAATCCATCCATCCATCCATCCATCCATCCATCCATCCATCCATCCATCCATTCATTCATTCATTCACTCATGCAGACATACAGAGATAAATTCATTCAAGCGCCATCCCTACTTATCACACCATGACATAAAATAGGACTAGGCTAATCATAGACATCCTTAGCAAACGCCTCAAATATTTCAAAGCAAATTTCAGAGTCTGATCTTTGCAAAGGGGCAGATTCTTGGCAAAACTACAATCTTGCCACTGCTTCTGTCAGATGCAATAAAGTTCTGGGAGAAAGACCATGGGGAGGGATGCATGACTGCAAAAAAAGCAAATCAAAGCTACCAGGGATGAATAGCGAGCTGGCCCTTATCGTTATTTTAAATAGTTTATTCAGGAAATACAAAGCTTTGAAACAGCAGAACAAGTTACAAGAACAACAAAGTTTCTTTTCTCCAAAGAATAAGGAGCCACAGTGTTAACAATGAGGAAGATGGCAAAGAGAAGGAACAAGGAGGAGGCAAAACAATGGGAATATTTTGCATCCATAGTATTTATATACTTTGCGAATCAGATAATTCTAGGTTCAATCCTCAGCATCTCCAAGTCAGCCAGGAAAACTTGCTTATAGAGTAGAGCAGCCTCGTCTTTCAACTTTAATATTCCTAGGTGTATGTTGATTGCAAAAATACCGCTGTGCTGCTTGGAAGTGGAGGGAGTCGTAAGTTAGAGATAATAGAAAACCTATAATTTAGCAATAGCAATAGCAGTTAGACTTATATACCGCTTCATACGGCTTTCAGCCCTCTCTAAGCGGTTTACCAAGGTGCCAAGGTGGCGCAGTGGTTAAATGCAGCACTGCAGGCTACTGCTAGATCAGCAG